GCTCTGCCTCCCCTCTGTGCCTCAGTTTCCTCATCTGTAAAATGGTGCTGTGCATACCCTTTCTGCCTTCCACGGGTAGTGGCCAGGCTCAGACGTTATAATTGCTGTGCAAACGCTTTGTAAATGATGAGTCATACCAGCTGCTGTTTTGCGGCCACCGATGCAGTGCTGGGTGAGCTGTGGAGGCTTCGTGGCATTAATGATGAACGCGGAGAGCTGCCCTCGGGGACCACCTTGCAGCTAGACAATAAACATCCATAAAATGAACTGTCAAATGAACAGGAACCCCGTGGGGAATGTGCTTCTCCGAACAATCAGCCAGATCAGGTGCCACAGGCAGCGTTCTCCCAGGAACAAAGCTCCCAAGGCAGGAAGGGCCGGAAAAGAGGATGGATGGAAACAGGCATCTCAGGAAGGAAGCAGGAAGAGTGCTGTTACATTGACAGGATTACAAGCAACGTCTTGAAACAAAACAATGAATGTGGAAAAGGCTGAATTAAAAAATGAATTTGCTGTGTATGTGTTCCCCTAAAGCATGTTAAATTAGAGAAGAGAAGGCACAGAGTTGCTGTTTCTTCAGGGTTGTGGCACAGCAGGCTCTGCCCTCAGCACTCTGTACCTATTGTCCACCTCTCAGCAACAACCATGTCCCTGTAGGCAGATGACACCCTGCTGGTCAGTAGTCAGATGAAGGCAGACCCTGGCTGGGGGGCACACCAGCGGGTGGAATGGGGGGCCTGTGTCCTCACCTCTACCCTCTTCTTTTGAGGGGTGGCCAGGCCTCTACCTGTTTGCTCAGCTCTGCTGCTGCTCCTGCCAGGGTTTCTGTTCCCCAAATGTTACTGGTCCCCTGAGGACCCAGACCATGTGGGTGACAGGAAACTTGCCAAGCATTTGGGGCTGTATTGAGTTTGCAGAGCTGAGCTGGGATGGGTGTCCCATGCGGACGAGTGTCCCATTGGCAGGTATCTGCAGGCAGATGCTGGATGCTGAGGTTTTACCTGGCCCTGCGTGGTAGCACCCTCTGTAGGACAGTGCCATGGAGGGGGCGTCCTGCCGTGGAGGGGCTGTTCTGTTATGGAGGGGCCGACCTGCTGGGGAGGGGCCGTCCTGGCGTGGAGGGGCCGACCTGCCATCAAGGGGCCGTCCTGGCATGGAGGGACCGTCCTGGCGTGGAAGGACCGTCCTGCCGTGGAGGGGCCGTCCTGTCCTGTTATGGAGGGGCCGTCCTGGCGTGGAGGGACCATCCTGCCGTGGAGGGACCGTCCTGCTGTGGAGGGGCCGTCCTGTCCTGTTATGGAGGGGCCGTCCTGGCGTGGAGGGTCCGTCCTGCCGGGGAGGGGCCGTACTGCCGTGGAGGGGCCGTCCTGGAGTGGAGGGGCCGTCCTGCCATCAAGGGGCCGTCCTGGCGTGGAGGGCCCGTCCTGCCGTGGAGGGGCCGTCCTGTCCTGTTATGGAGGTACCGTCCTGCCGTGGCGGGACCGTCCTGCCGTCAAGGGGCCGTCCTGGCATGGAGGGGTCATCCTGCCGGGGAGGGGTCGTCCTGCAGAAGACCCGCGGGCAATGGAAGGTGCTCCTGGGCAGGACTGTCTGCACCTTCTCCTCCTGAGCTTTGGCTCTTTCCTCAGTCAATTTGCTCAACGTTTCTTCTTTGTCAACAGCAGACTCTGTGCTATCAGAACCCATGTGACCGGTTTTGCTAAAGAGCCAAAATCTTTCGAGTTCCTGGGGAGGCAGTCTCAGAAGAAATGCCTTTGGAAGTGTTAAAGATTGAATGGTATCCCCCCAAAATATGTGATGTAAATTGCCCAGCTCAGGCCTCGGTATTTTCAGTCATCTCATATGCATGGGAAAGCGGCACCATGAATAAGGAAGACCAAAGAGAAGTGGATGTGTTTGAATTATGGTGTTGGCTAAGAAAGTGAACACATAGATTCTTGAAAGAAGTCCAGCCAAGTGCTTCTTAGAAAGGAAGATGTTGAGAGTTATTGTCACCGACTTTGGGCGTGTTATCAGGAGGCCAAGCTCTGGAATAGGCTGACGTGCTTAGTAAAGTTCAGGGTCAAAGGCAAAGAGGAAGACCTCCAAGGAGATGGACAGATACAGCATCTGGAACAATGAACTTAAATATAGTGACGGTGGGGAGCGGTGAAGATTTCCGTCTGTGATTTGCTCTGTTCTGTGTGGGTTGGATATGAGCCCAAACCAATCCCAAGTCATGTAACAACTGCATGTCTAGGGATGTGATCCCATCTATTGTCTTATGTCAGTGAGAGCGTTATGATGTGTCTCAGACCAGTCACGTTTGAGATTGAAGAGAGCTGAGGCACAGAAGCAGGCAAAGATGACGGAAGATCGAGGCCACATCACGTGAAGACCACCGAGGATGGAGGAAGGTGGACGCCATGTCCTGTGAAGACCATCAAGGACCCGAGTGGAAGAAGCTAGAGAGACACAGACGTCTTCCCCCAGAGGCTCCATGTCCTGGATCCAGACTCCTAGCCTTCTGACCGTGGGAAAAGGAATGTCCGCTCAGGAAAGCCGTCCACATGTGCTGTGTCCATTGGAGCAGCGCTGAGAAACCAAGTCTCCATTACAGGCGGATGGTCTTGATCACAGGTGCTGAGGTGGCCTCACAGTCAGAGTGACTGTGTCCAGGTCCCCAGCTCAGCCTCTGGCACTGGCTCACTGGCTTCCTGGACCCTGATGGAGGCACTTAGTTTTGTACTTTTCTGCTTGTATAAGGGAGCTTCGTGGCCTAGTGGCAAGAAGTCGCGCTGCAATCTCAAAGGAACATGGTTCGAGGCCACCATCTGCTCCGTGGTAGGAGAATGGACAATCTCTTCCCGTTCGATTAACGGCCTCTGAAAACCTGCCATAGGTCAGGTGTGGGTCGGTTCTGATGCTACAGTACACAACAACCAATCTGCTTGTTTAAAAAGTTAGAGGCCCTCTCAGCAGAGACCCACCTGAGTGTCCGACCGAGAGAAGCCCCTTCTCTGGGCTTGATAGTACTTCCCTCTTATATTTTTTTGGAAATCCAGAGCTAGCTTCCTTCCTCCCTCTCTCTCTCTCTCTCTCTCTCTCTCTCTCTTTCTTTCTTTTTTCTTTCTCTTTCTTTTTCTTTCTCTCTCTCTCTCCCTCCCTCCCTTCTCTCTCTCTCTCTCTCTCTCTCTCTCTCTCTTTCTTTTCTTTCTTCTTCTTATTCTCTCTCTCTCTCTCTCTTTCTCATTGCGCTTTGAGTGAACATTTGCAGAACAAACTGCTTTTCCACTCAACAATCAATACACAGCTTGTTTCGTGGCATTGGTTACATGTCCCTCCATGTGATACCCCATCTTCTCCCTCTGTTCTCTTCTCATTTGTCCTTCTTTCTGCCTTTTGAATTTTGTTCTGGCCAAAAGATTTCTAGCCTCCAAACTGTGAGGAAGGAGCTCTCGTGACTTAGTGGTAAGGAATTGTGCTGCCAACGCAAAGGTACATGGTTCAAATCCACCAGTTGCTCTACAGAAGAAAGATGGACAATTTCCTCCTGTGCAATTTACTGCCTCTGAAAACCTGCTGGAGGGTCAGCTATGAGTGGGTTCCAACTTGACGATACACAACAACAACAACAACAGCTTGTTAGAGATCGCACTTCTACATGTGGCATCACGGTTACAGTAGCAATAGATAATAATTAAGACACTTGCCCAGGTCGTCAGACCAGGAGACGAGCAGATTTGGCTGGCGGAACTTAGCGTGGTGGAAGACGTCAGATTTGGAGTCAGAAATTCAGGGCTCCAGTCTCAGCGTCACAGTTATAGCCACTGTCAGTCTCTCCTCGGGGCCTGATGAGGTCAGATGTCAGCTCACTGCTAGTCAGAGTGGTGCCTGCCATCTCACCGTGGTCATGGGGGAGGGGGGCTGTTCTTACCACGAGGGTCTGCCGTCCTGGGGGTTTACGGTAAATGCTGTCTTCCTTGTAATGGGGTCTTTGGCTGTTCCAAGGAGTTTGCTATCAGCTTCTAATCTGCAGGCTGGTGATTTGACTACATCCAACAGCACCTCAGAAAGAAAGGTTTCTGTGAAGATTGTTGTTGTTAAGTGCTGTTGAGTCGTAGACAACTTATAGTGACCCTATGAATGAAAGACCTGAACACTTGTGTGACTTTCATCCTTTCTCTGTGTTCATGGAGTTTCCAGAGGCAAGCTATTTAGGAAGTGGATGCCACTCCTGCTTCCAAACTTGTTTTAATCAGGGAGCTCCACCAAACACTGTGTAACCATTATCACATTTGACACATCAGTGTCCCAGTGTTCAGCTTGACAGCAACCATGAGTTACCTCTGTACAGCAAATGGACAGGCCAGTGCTATACCACTTAGAAGAATGTTTGACTGTGAAGATTACCAACCCTTAAACCCCCACCAATAAGTTAATTCCAACTCTTAGAGACCCTCTACCAGATTTCCAAGACTGTATTTATGGGAGGAGACTGTACATCTTTATCCATGGAGTACCTTGTGGATTCGAACCCCCGACCTAGTGGTTAGCAGGGCAACATATAACACACTACACCCTGATATCCTTCTGCAAAGATTATTACTGTTGCGTACTGAGGAGTCGGAACTGATCCATAGCTGACTGTCTGGTGGGTTTTCAGAGGCAGTTAATTTCGGGGGAGGAGACTGCTCAGCCTTCTCCCAACAGAGCAGCTGGTGGATTCGAACTGTGTGCCTTTGGGATTGCAGCACAGCATCTTACCACTAGGCTTCCAGCCAAGAAAATCCTATGGAGTGAAGTTCTACTCTAATGGGGGTTGGGAGAGGCAGTTGTCTCTTTAAGTGGGAAATGACTTGATGGCAGTGGTTTGGTTTGAGGTTTTTGGCTTTTCCTTTAACCATCCTTCAGGACGGGGGAGGCAAAGCGGGGAGACTGCAGAGTTTTAGGGATCCAATGAGTTCTCACACTGACGCACACGCAAGTAAAGGCAGCACTCTCTTTCTCTCTCATTATAGGTAAAAATGGCAACCGGAAAGGTGCGAGATCCAAGAGCTTTGAGAAGTCGGCCAGCGATGACCAGAGCATCCACGCAGGCCCCCAGGACCGCAGAGAGAGTAAGTTCACCCTCTTGGGGCATCTGTCCCAGGTGTGTCGCCTGCCACAGTGGCCTGACTACAGATCCCTGAACAGGGGGACTGCCTGCTCTTTTGGGTTTTTAAAGAAATTCAGTGCCCCTTAAACAATCTGGATATTTACTTCTTTTTAATGTTTTACTTTTGATGGAAATGTATACAATAGGACATACAGCCATTGAATCATTTTTTCCAGGAGCAATTCAATGGTAAAGGCTGCACTTGTCACCTTGGGTCACCATGTTCAGTCTCCTTCTAACTCACAGGGACCCTCATCTGGCTTCAGAGATGAAATCTATTCTGGAGGAGACTGCCCAGCTTTCTCCCTTAGCGTAGCTGTTGGATTTGAACCATTGACTTTTCTGTTAGCAGCATGACATATAATGCCCCCCAACACCAGGGATCTGTTTGTCAGACTCTTAGGAAGGAGCCCATGTGGGACAATGGTTAAGCACCCACTTGTCAACTGAATGGTTGGTTCAAATTCACTCAGTGGCTCCCAGTAATAAAGACCTTCCACACTGCTCCTGTGAAGATTACAGTCACAATAGCAAAGAAATGGACGCAGCACAAATATCCAGAACAAACAGGTATAGAAACTGTGGTACAGATGGACAGTGGAGTATTATGCAGCATGGAAGAATAAAAAGGAATTCATTAAACACTATGCAATGTGGATGAGTCTAGAGAACGTTATGCTGAGTGAAAGAGCTCAGTTACAAAAGGTCAAATACTGCATAAGACCTCTGTTACAAACACAGAAGGGTTACAGGGGTGAGGAGGTCGGGGAGAGTAGGAAAATAATGGATGAGAAATGTGCAGATGAAGCAAAAGGTGATGGAAAATGATTCAGGTCAATTTGAAGTAGACGGACCATCAGATAGCCTGGAACAGAACGTACATTACAGATTTACTGCATCTTGGAGGGGAGAGGAGGAAAATGAATGAGTGAATGAGAGACCAATTTCCTTGTAACCTTTCATACAAATCACAATAAAAAACAATTTGAAGAAAGATTACACTGTTTGTCTTTATGAGACTGAGCTCACTCAGCATAATGCTCTCTAGTCTCTCCCAAGTTATGTAGTATTTTTAAAAATCATTACTCCTGAGTGCTGTGTAGAATCCCATTGTGTGAATGTACTACAATTTTTCAATCCATTTGGTTGTGGTTGGACATTTGGGCTGTTTCCATGCTCTTGTGGTGGTGAATAACACTACTATGACATTGGTGTACAAATCTCTGCTTGTGTCTCAGTTCTAATTTTCTTGGGATCTATTCCTGGTAGTGGAATAGGTGGGTCATATGGAGTTTAAGACCATTATTGGAAAAATAGAAGTTCGATGTGTATGGGGGCTTAAGGGGGGAAGGGGCAGGAACAGAGCAGTGAGGATGAGGAGGAGATAAATCACAGAGTTGCGCAATTTTGTGGGTGGAGGGAGGGAGTAAAGGAAATGGGAACGATTCAGTGGGGACCTGAAAAGACAGGGTAATGGTGGTAATGGTGCATAGTCCACTGGTGATTAATTTTATAAAACACAATGTGTTAGAATGATTGTATGAAACATCAATGAAGGAAAGTGCGCGGGGAAATTCTGCTTAAGGGGAAAAAACCCCAAAACCATGTACAAATAAATGGACTTTGAAATTTTTGAGCCGGGGGGAGAAAAAAGATACAGATTAGGAAAACCTTTGAGGTAGTTCTACTTGGTCACGTGAGTTGAAAATCAAGTAGATAGCACCCAACAACATTATGCTTTATTACCCTCATTGAACGTACCGTGGACTGCCAAGAGAACTAACAGATCTGTCCCGGAGATGGTAAAATGAAGCTGCTCCTTGGAGGCAGAGATTTTGTGTCTCTGTCTCACATACTCTGGGCACGTAGCCAGGAAGGACCAATCTTTGGAGAAGGATATCATGCTTGGAAAGGTGGAGGGACAGCGCAGGGGAGAAAGACCCTAGATGAGATGGATAACACGATAACTAAGGTAGTGGGGGCAAGTGTGTCAGATACAGTGAGACTGGCTCAGGATAGAGCAGGGTTCAGAGCTATTATGCATAGGGACAATATGAGTGATAGTCAACTCAACGCACCTGACAACAACAACAACAGTTGCCACTGAGCCTAGTTTTTACCAGCTCCTGGTGTGAATTTGAATATTCTGGGTACTATTATTATTCTTGGTCCTAGATTCATCTGACATACTTTGGACACGATGCAAGGCGGGACCAGTCCTTGGAGAGGGATATCATGCTTGGGAGGGTGGAGGAGACCACAGGAGAGAAAGACCCTCGATGAGATGGAGTGATTCAGTCACTGGGGTAATGGGGATCGGTGTGATTGGCAAGGCATAGAGCAGGGTTTAGGGCTGTTGTACACAGGGTCTCTATGAGTTGCAGACGACGGCACATAGCACCAACAACAACAATGACAGATGTTAGATACCCTTGAGTCATCTCCAACTCATAATGAGCCTGTGAATAACAGGTTGGAACCTTGCCTCTCCTGTGTCATCGCCATACTATGTCCCTGTGTCAATCTGTCTCACCGAGGATGACCTTCTCTTTTGTGGATCCTTTTACTTTGCTAAGTGTGCTGTATCCAATACTACTACTACCACTATCTGGTGGCTTACTGGTAAGGAGTTGTACTTCCAATCCAAAGGTACGTTGTTTGAATCCACCTTTGCTCCATGGAAGACGATGGGCTCTTTCCTTCCATGACACTCATTGCCTTTGAAAATCTGCAGTAGGGTCGGCTACAGGTCGATTCCAATTCAGCAATACATAACAGCATCGTTATTATCCATATTTTGTAGGTGGGAAAAAAAGATCCTCAGTGATATGGATGATTCACCCAGGGTTACATAACTCGGAAACGGTAAAACTGGAACTTGAAGCACAGATTTTCTGTTTGCAGACTTTCGCTCAGCCACATGGCTGCTTAAGATAAGAAGAGCTTTTCACAGTATCGTGTTCACGGAGCAGGGCCCATTTCCAGCTGCCACAAAACCTATCAGCCATGTGACAGAGCTGTCACAGGAATTGTGTGTCGCCCAAGGTGCAGTGTCTCGATATACGGCTATGTTTCTACTCAATAATTTACTATTAAAGAAATTACAGCTCTCTTAGAGCATCCTGTGTAAAGAACAGTGGACTTCTACAGGCATCTACCAAGAGGAAGGTGTATCTCAAAGTGGGTAGGTGTGTCTGTTGACCTTTGAGATGGTCCTGGCCTAAAGGTGGTGATTGGAATCCACTGACCTCTCTTTAGGTGAGAGGTTGCACAGTCTACTTTTGTAATAACCCACATCCATGGAAATTCTATGAGGCAGTTCCTGGAGATGCCGTGAGTCCAGATTGGTGGATTGGCTTGAATTTTATTTATTGAGTCTTCTTACTGACCCTAAACCATGCAGAAATTAGGACATGCATAATGCAATGCTAGGAAGCTCTGGTGGCCTAGTGGCTGCACTGCAATCCCGAAGGCACTCAGTTTGAATCCACCAGATGCTCTATGAGAGAAGGATGGGCAGTCTCCTCCCATGTGATTAACTGTCTTTGAAAAACCACCAGAGGGACAGCTATGGGTCAGTTCTGATTCCACGGTACACACAACAACAACAACAACAACAACAACACCACAATCCTGGGGTTGGTTCAGTCTGAGGGTGTTGTCCTTTGGACTGTCTGTGAAGAGATGGGTGATAAGGCTCACCACCTTCACAGGCCTAGGTCATGGCCTTCTTGTCACCTGCACCGGAGAAGAATAAAATGCCAGCCACAAAGGCCACAGGGTCGAAGGGACATCTAGTCCTGGGCTCAGCTCTGGGATCTTGCTGTCATCTGGACTTGGGCCTGATGGTCAGTTCCTCATTACCTTATTCACTCGTCAATGCTTAAAAATTTTTTTTATAAAAAAAATATCTTGCCTAGGTTACTTTTATTACCATATGCTGAAAGATGTGAAATGCCTTAATTCTATATTTCCACAATTAGAAGTTGCAGGACATTTGCAGTTTCAGAAGGAGCTTCGAAAGCTCTTTTCTCAGCACATGTACGCGTACTCCCTTCCTGCCCCCCCCCCGATGTTAGTACATCCCCCTCCCTGAGGCTTCTTAACCCCTTTTATTGATTCAAGGTATGCCTCGACCCTCAGGATTACATCCTGCCTCATTAACGTAACTGCCAACAATCCTTCGTCATTCACATCATAGAGGTTAGAATTTACAGTTGGATAATTACATCCGACCACAGAATCAAAGATAATTACATAACACAGAGAATCATGGCCTCGCCAAGTGAATACATATTTTTGGATGCCAAGTAGAGAGTTGCTTTGCAACTGTTGTATGTTAGGAAAAAGAAACCATTAGAAAATAGCAAAAGCATTGTCATCTCTTGAGACATAGACTATCTTAGAACTTCATTCAGAAAACTCTGGGGTCTCCTTGCTCACAGCCTGCACCTTGTCTTGGTCCTTGCTTGCTTCACGTCACAGTCACCTCCGCGCATGAGTCTCTGGCCCTGAGAGATGAGGCTGGCCGAAGAGCAGGGCCGCATCTGATCTGATTGGTGATTATCGGCATGGACAGTTGGCAACAGGAATGACAGACATGCTTCCGAGCACCTGCTCTATGCCGGGCTGGCACCGGGGGTGCAGAAATGCTGTCTTCTGTCTAGTGAGGTACATGTCACATGGCCCAGGACAGCGGGCCGGCCCTCTATGACTGTGTGGTCTGGCTTCAGTTCTTAGAGCAAGGTGTGTGGAAAGGCAGCATCTTCCCACCAAGGCAGAAGCAGAATGGTTTCTCCCAAGTTGAACAGCTGGTGCTTCTCCTATGTGCCCAGCTGACTAAGGCTTGAAACCCACACACGGACCCAGGCTTGAGAATGGACTTATTTGACGTATTTAATTCGCAAGGTTTCCGTTTTATTACAGACGTCTTGCTTTTTCATCTAAGCCCTTCTGTGGAGC